GAACCCAGGCCGCATTTTCATCAAAGTTTTGCGAATTAGTGCTCAACAGTGTTCGAGAGAGCGGCAAAAAGTTCTTTTGCTAAAATTAAAGAATGAGACACTCAGCAAATCACGCCCACGTACAGCAAAGATGGAGGAGGAACCTTTAAGAGCTGCTCTGAAGTGATTACATGATTAATCACATGTATACTCAAAGCAGGAAAAGACGGAAGGATTTTACCAACCTCTGCCCCCATTGTTCAAAATACCACAGGGGAAATATAGCAACACATTAACCTCTTCCACTCCATAGGCCCATTTGTGTTTTTGTATAGGAGGGACAGGGGATCTCTAGAGGGCGGTAGCAGGTCAGCTGGATATGCCACAAGGAAAGTTTATACATTAATTTAAAGCTCGGAACCTGAAGATGAGTTCGGCTCTGTGTGTCAACTTCTTCGAGTCATAAATCTGTGATAAAAACTGTGTTTTGTTTGGGTGCCTATTTGAACTTCTATAGTCTATAGTGCATAGAGGCTTAGAACATGATGATGGAAGTGTATGCTCAGTTGCGATGTTACACATAGACACATAAAGACAGTCAAGTTTATTTTTTAAAAGCCTCAATGACTTCCTGTATCTGGGCACTGTAGTTTGATGTCAAACATTGCTAAATCAGGAGTGGGTATTATGGTACCAGACCAGTGTATGTAAACTATAATACACATGTTCATAGAGGTGAAGGAACATGTCACACAGTGCAACAGTGAGGCTCTCTGCTGTGTTTTTAATAGTCTCTGGACAACAATGGAACTTTATGTAACAGAGAAATAAGCTGACACAGAGAGAAGTTGTTAGTAGGATGAGTTCATTGCTGGTTTTGGTCTTTTCATGAGGTCTGTTGACTCATAAGAAACACACAAAAGTCCAAATTTCCACTTTTAGCAGTTAAAGGTTTTGGTTTTCAGCTAACTTCCCTTAACCTGAGAAAGTCGCTAGAAGAAATTGTTGGCATTGTGCATTTCTGAAAACCACAGATACTAGTCCATACCCATTGGTAGCTTTGTCACCTTCTACCTATGCCAATCCTCAATGCCTATGTGCAGTTTCACATAGAATGACCACGTCAGTGAGAAGAAAAACGTGGAACAGACAGAATGACTGACTGACAGAATGACACACTGACAGTTTCCGTGATTATCTACAGCATACCATACCATGACTTAGTCATACCAAAAATTAGAAAAAAACCCCCCAAACATTCAGCCACAGGGGGAGCCACAGCGATCGGTCGCATTTTAGTCATTTTTAAGCATTTTTCTGTTGTTATAGCGCCACCCAGTTGCCAATTAGAGTTAAATTTCTCCAGTCACCTGTTCTACATATCTACCAAGTTTAGTAAAAATCAATATGGCAGTTAGGCCTAGATAAGAAATTAGCTCTCTAGCGCCCCCATTTTGTTTGATCGGGTCAGTAATGGAGTGGTCCCCTCAGATTATGTGTGGTCATATGCTTACAAAGTTGTGTGGTGATCGGTGAAACCCTTGAGATGTTACACACCTTTATGTGATGAGCCACACCCTCCACAATATTTATTGCCTTATAGAAGCTCAGTTTTAGTAAGTTTTCCAACTTTTGCCAAGAGGGAACTTTAGATATTGGTCCCTAGATTATGTTCACAGAGTTTCATGCAGATTGGTCAAACTTCCTAGGAAGAGATTGATTTGAGGCAAATTTGTTCCTCATGAGGAGAGATATGTCTGTGCAAAGTTTCATGTCTCTGCGACATACGGGGCACGAGATATGCCCATTCAAAATTTGCAATTTCAATCGGTTGCTATAGCGCAAACCTTTGGCCAATTGATGTAATATTGCTTCATTCGCATCCTCCCATGATCCTCTACCGCTGTGCCAAATTTCACATGGATTGACCAAGTCAGTGAGGAGAAAAACGTGGAACAGAGACACAGACACACACACACAGTTTCCGTCATTATATAGTAAGATGTTACATTTGTACGTTTCTTACATAGATCAGCATTTGTAAACTGACATAGTTCTAGCAGTGTTTGTTGAAACAACATCAGGGTATTTTAAGCCCCAACATACAAACCATAAACAAGTGTGTTTTGTGCCTAAACCTAACCACATGTCAACCACAGCGTTGTCACAACATAAGATTGAGAATTGAAACATAAAGAAAAGTAGTTTCAACATATTTGCTACATATTCACGGTTTGTAGAAACATACAATGCCAATATTTACTCTGGCAACCAGAATATCTGCACACATCTGTAGAGTTTCTATCCTGATTGCTTATTTCTGAACAGCCAACTGTGCCTCAGTGTGCCTCAGTTGTCAGTACTTGACAGTAATATTGTTTTTTGGTTCTGTCCCCAGTCGTATGGGCAGCAGCAGCAGCACAGAGCCTCTGACGGCCTCCCATGGTTCCCTGAGTCGAAGCAGCGGCGTCGGCACCTCCATGCACCGTCCAAACTTCTTCAGCCAGCTTTCAGGTCAGACCTTCTACAACAACGAGTATGGACACCTGTCTGAGGAGGGCTTCTGCGACTTCTTCTCCTCACCTGACGCCCCCTGCCTCGCCTCCTCCAATGTGTAATCTTACCAAAGATGCAGCTCGAGAGAACAGAGAGTTAAAGGAGCAGCTTGGCTCAGGTCAATGGAGGCTTTAATAACATCTCAGCAGTGACATATAACATATATTGGTCATTTATTAATGAAGATAAATTTATAGATCCTAATGACCAGAGCTTGCCTCTACTCATCTCCTCTTCTCTGCGGCTGCTGCCTCAACAGACTGAGCTATATGTGCCTGAAGTTCCTCTAACCAGCCACTGGGTGGCAGCATTATGACAAAAACAAACCCTAAGTATTTTCTATTCACACATTTATATTTTTTATCTTTTATATACAGAGTATTCTTCCTTCATTTGTACAAATTATGCCTCATATGGGAAGAAATAAAGAATTTTATCTTCTTCTTGCTCTCCTCTCTGTGATTAATCCAAAGTTAAAGCTGTCATTATTCCGCTGAAGTACCATCTTTTAGGGGCAAATTTGCATTTGTCATGCTCTGATGCTAATTACAGGTCCACAAGCAAGCCAGAGCCACAAGCTCTGTGATGATCCACATAACAGACCAATCAACAAAATGAGGGGATATTTGTGGATCTGTGCCACTTAGTGGAGGTGGCGGCGCTTGGATACGCGACACCATGAACAAGGAATAAGTGACGGAGGTAAACAGAGGGATGTAGGGTGAATAAAAGGAGTGAGTCATGCTAAGCACCTCTTATCAGAGCTGGACGTAAGCATGATGACAGCTGTGACAGCTTAACACCCTCTTATATGCTCACATCACAAATGACAACCTGCAGGGTGTTGACTCTGGCTGCCAGCTGAGGGAAATGAGCAGTGTCTGGGTGCAAAGTCCACTTCATACACACACAGACACAATTACAGCCAGCAGAGCACAGTTAATGTTTTAAAACCAGAGGAGCAAAGGTTCTGTATCCAGTTTCTATGAATAACTGTTGATAAGATGAATTCGGGTACACTGTCAGTTTCAGGTGAAAAGGGGTTCAAGGAGAAACATCTGACGTGAAATATTTGTTTTGTAACCCAGCAGCTCACTTCTGTCCTATTTCCCCACACAACCTAGACTCCATGACTTGACTACTTTAGGTTTTATTATGAAATCAACTGATCTCTTGCACATTTTTGGCCAGAAAACCAAAATCTGTCCTTGTTTAACCTTAATTTATTGGGCAATCCTTTTAGGATCTGTAAACCTAAAATTAACTGTCAAAATGGTTTAAAAATGAGGAATGGAAACCAAAATAAAAGTAAATATAACATATAGAATGAAGGGCAGCTGGCTTACACACAGAAAATTGTCATTCCTCAGCGGCTCTTTGGCATGAGCTGAGGTGCTTTATAGCACCATTGTAGTGATGGGATTTCTCGTTCACTTGTGAGAGCCGGTTCTTTGGCTCTCGTTCACTTTGAATAGTCGGTTCAAAGATGCGGTTCGTTCGTTTGTTTTCTTTTCTTTTTTTGTTGCTGTGTGTGTGTGTGTGTGTGTGTGTGTGTGGGGGGGGGGTGTTAGTGGGTTCAACGATGAATCGCATTGCTCATTTATCGCATCACGTGATCTGGAGATTGTAACGTGGACCAAGAATAGACCACGCAGATATAAAATTTGGCGTAGCCATAGCAACACCCTTTATAAACAACAAGCCTGTCAACAGAAGCAAGTGCTAGCGGATAGTGGGTTAGCTTGCTACCGTTCGTTTCTAACCGAGGGGGGTCATCAACACGACGTGAATTAGGAAGTGGCTCGTTCACTCTAAAGAGCCGGTTCAGAGACTCGCCTCGTTTGCAAACGTCACAGCACTACACCATTGCCATGCAAAGAACTTTTTAAGCCCCTGTATGGTTCTTAGGAGGTTCTCTACTGGTTCTGTCCCCAGTAAACTAAACTGAAGAACCAGTAGAGAACCATTTGTGGTTCTTTAGAGGTTCTCTATTGGCTCTTCAGTTTAGTTTAATTCTATTTACTGGGGACAGAATAAAAACACTACATTACAACAGCCTAAGAAAGGTGTATTTCCAGAGGATAACACATTAAATCAGTGGCTCTCAGCCTTTTTGTTCCCATGTGCACGGAAGTCAGTGAGCATTTCGTACAGGATTCTATATATTTAAGCCAACATTTAAAAAGAAATCATTTAAAATCATTCATATTTTAAGTAACAGTGTAATTTAGACACATATTGACTCGTCCATGGCATTTTCTGACATCATTCAAGGGCCCCTGGGGTCAGAAATTTAAAAACAACAGAGCTATATGGCACCTTTAATGGTTCTATATAGCCTATTAGACAAAGGCACTGTACAGCACCTTTAAAAGACAGGTTCCCCCATGTCTATGAGCCAAAGAACTGTTTTTGAACACTGTTAAGCACCGTTTTTGTCAAGAGTGTACAGAGACCAGAAGACATGATTTCTATGGTACCTTTACTGGAGGAACACATAGCATTACAGAGTAATTTGAGACGGAACAGGAAGTGAATGACCTCAACAGTAGAAAGACCAGTTTCTGAAGGCTTGTGATTATCACCGTCCTGGATCAGAGAGGTCTGTCAGATAACAGTATAAAAGAAAGAAAAGAAATGACCAAAGAGGGAAAAACATGTTGGTCTACAAGTTCTCTCCTTATAAAAGCAAATCTTTACAATTTTAAAACTTCATAGAAATTAAAAAAGTAAACATGTTCACATACCGTGTAAAAAACAAACAAACTACCGTAATCAACTGATCTCTTAGAAAAAAAAACAAGACATTCATTATAGTTTTTCTCAACAAATCAAATGGGATGGAAAAAGTCAAAAGTAGAATCTTTAACAGCATTGATGAAGTATTTGGTATACACTGATTTCAAGGGAAACAATGATGAATGTGTTGGAAAAAGAAAACTCTAAAAGGTGAATCTGCACTGAGTCATAATTTGCAATGAACTGGTTTTAGTGGCAGCCACTGGAACATCTGATGATAACCCTGTTATGGTGGACGAGTCAAACTAAAGGCACACAGTTTGAATACTGAAGATAAAATGAGACAGGCTGTAAAAATAACATCACATGATGCAAATTGTAGTTTTATGGACAGAGTGAATTACGTCTACAAATATCAGTCCAGCCTTTTAAACAGCACAGGCTTATAAACACTTCCTTCAAATGATCATTTTCATTTTGCGGAACTGAGTAAACAGTACGGTTAGACCGATATACTGGTTGGACTGGTTAAAATGATCCTTTTTTTAATTCATTTAAACAATCATGTCTCGTAACTTGAAAACTTCCCTATGATTGAATATTTGTGGAGATTAGTGTCACAAAGTGTTTACACCAAATTTAAAATATTTGACTTTCATCACAAATATCAGCTTTGTTTTGTTTGTTTTTTTACTTCATTCTAACACAATCAGACGCAGCCTTCAAGTACCCATACTGGTTGAACCCTGACACACAGTACTTCATCTCCGCAGTAACAAAAGAGCTTCCCTCTCCTTTCCTTTCCTCTCCTCCCCTGACACTGAAGACGGAGAAAGCCGACATGTGATAGTCGGCGTCCACACGTCACCAGAGCAGATGGGGCCTGAGAGGAACTTAAGTAACTGAGACGCAGCCATGTAGCCTGGTAGTTAAATCGAGTGCTGGAGCCACTTCATTGGTCGCGCTGATACAAAAGGAAGTGGGTTCGAGCAGGATTGGATTTAGCTAACAGGCTAGCAACTTTGCACTTATAAATAAGATGTAGGGAGGAGCGGGGAGCAGTCCTCATGACATCTTCCCTATCTGGATCTTCTTCCAGGCCTCTGAAGCGGTGAATATACAGGAGTCAATGATTCCTGCGACTGTGAACGTCCCGCCGACGATGGCACAGATCTGCAGAGAACAAGTCATTGTCAGTCTTCTATGGTTATATATTAATGATCCAATGTCAGCTGCTTCTAATCACAATCTATCAAAACAATACATCACACTGACTCTCCAGAATGTGCTGGAATCCAGCTCTTTGCTGGATTCCAGCACATTCTGGAGAGTCAGTGTGAAAAGAGCTGCAAAGAGCAAAGAGCAAAGAGCTGTGCTGCAGCTTGACTCACAATCTTGAGCCATGACTCATAATCACATGATGAACACAGTCATATCCTACCCCCATGCCTTAAGTCATGATAAACCTAAACAACTTGAAAGACAAATAAGGGTGTAACTCATCAGCCTGGCAGCCAATTTAATCCTGACTGCATTATCAGTCAGGAGGAAAACTTCCTGATGAGAAGGTATGGGCTTAGCCAAAATTCCTCAGCTGACAAGGTCAGGTGGGGAGAGGAGGCAGGGAAAAGGATGAGGAATTCAGGAGGAAAAAGAAATAAAAATATATATATTTTTAAAAAGCTCATAGGTGTACTTTGTTATCTTTGTACAGAGCTACGCTAATAGTTTCCCCGTTTCCAGTATGCTAAGCTAAGATGGCAGGTTGCAGACTGTTCATATTCACCATATCAATATCAGTATTAATATTCTCATCCAACTCTCAGAAAAAAGGGAGCATATTTTCCAAAATGCCAATCATTTTCTGTAAAGTTCAGACTTCTTATGAGACAAAAAAGAAACCTAAAATCATGAAAGCAAACGCAAAAAGTGCAAACCTACAGTCATAGTCCCACACACTGAGCAGAAATATAAATACATAATATTAAACAGCCAAATTCTCAGAAACAACATTGGACACGGCTCACTGTTGTGAATAGAACATTTAGTTCACAGGCAGCGGCAAATTCCTGCAGTCAGCATGTCAACAGCACGTTGCCTCCGAACTTGCGACATCTGTGGCATTGTGCTGAAAACTGCACGTTTTAGAGTGGCCTTCTATTTTGACCATCCCAAGGCAGGCCTGTGTTTCAATCATGCTGTTTAACCAGCATGTTGATATGACACCTGTCAGGAGGATGGATTACATTGGCAAAATGCTCACTGACACAGATTTAAACAAATTTTGTGATTTGAGAGAAAGGTTTCTATTGAGTGCATAAAAAAGTCTTGGATATTTAATGTCAACTTGTGACAAAAGGGACCAAAAACAAAAGTCTTGCATTTATATTTTGTGTGTCCATTTTAATTTCTTATTATGAAATGTTTGGTTTTACATTTAACCTGTATTAACAGATTTTTCAGAAACACTGCAACAAACTGTAAACACAACACTGACATGTCATTAGCTTACAAAGATTTCAAATCGAATGTATTAGGTAACAATTGCTTTTAACACATCCAGCAAACACGTCAAAGAATTAGCATTTACCTACAGTGGTGTTTCTGGTCACACAAGTCACTCTCCTTTTATCTTGATTTTGATCTCCACCAACTCCTGAGGGCAAAATAACTGTTTTTCCCTGCTAAATGTTGCACTATGTTCACCAGCTAGTGCTAACAATTAGCTGACAGCAGCTAAAAAGCTAATTAGAACTGAGGGGAACATCAGAGTCAGATGATAATTCCCCTTGGGTTCATCAGTAATGATTTTCATGTAATGCTCATTATTTTATTACCATTAATATGTCTCAATTTTTCCACATTCAGTCAGTCTACTACTCACTTTCATTACATGTGCATGTTCTTCATAATTTTCCACTCAAGTGGAAGGTGTTGAAGAAGCAGGTGAGATCATCCCCTGCCTTACAAACCATTTACAGTCTGATGTTTTGTCAGTGCCTCAGCAGCAGGGCTCCACCCATATACTTTTAAGACAGAATTCTGATACAGGTTCTTTTGTACTGAAGCTGCTGGTTGACAATATGTTTAGCAATGTTTAATATCTTTAAATATGACCACTTTAGGTATTTATTGTTATGTCAGAGAGCTGTATTCTGGTCAGGGTGGAAGAGCCTCTGAGGCAGCATTTTACATTAAGGACGCATTCACACTGGTGCTATTTGGTCCGCTTTACACGAACCGTGGTCCACTTCCACAGATAGTTCAGTTCACTTGGAGTGGTGTGAACACTCATTCCAACACTGGTGGGACCAAACACACGAACCCTGGTCCGCTTGAAAACTGGGGGTCTCGGTTCACTTGCAAATGAACCCTGGTGCGGTTCTGCTTACAGTGGGAAAGGCAAACGGACTATCCGGCGAACCAAAGAGAGAAGTGAACCAAAGAGAGGAAGTGACGTAGAGCTCAGTGCACTTTGGTGTTTGGTGTTTTTGTGGTGACCAAGCTGGCTGAAGGGGATGGATTTCCGTTTTCGGTCCGGGCCGAAATGCTTCATGCCTCATGCTTTTTTTCTTCCTGGTCAGTGGTCATTTCAGGTAATACCGCCCCCAAACGAGCAGCTGTTGTAACTGCGTGACGTTGTCCAGGCGGTTTGGTCCTCTTTAAAAAGTGCAGTGTGAAAGTGAACCAAACCAAATGAAGGTGTGAAATTTCTTCAGCATTCCCCGACCAATTGAACCAAGTCCCCTGGACTATCCTGGTATGAATGCGCCCTAAGTACCTACTCACTGTTTAAATTGCTCCTGAAACCTCTAAGCCTTTACATGTGCACCAACATAAGGTGTGAAAAGTCATCTAGTGGGCCGGTTGTGGCCCCTGACCGTATGTTTGATACTCCTGCTTTAATGTGACTATATGTCCCCTCAAGTGTTAAAAGAGACCAAACCAGAACTAATAGAGGATAAATATTGGACTTAGATTCTGCAAGTGGACTGAAACAGCAAATTTGAAATGAATGCTAATGTAAAGGCCAATTTATACTTTCGCATCCATGTGGCCTTGACGGTCCACTTTGGTCCTTGTGACGTAAATGGCATCATCTGCCCATGTCTGTGACAGTCCACATCGAGCCCTATGTGGACATCTAAGTGGAGCCCATAAATTTGTGACTGCATGGACTGTAAACACGGCAAGCGCACCGACTTTGCACGGAATCTGTTCACCGTATCGACTTAAAGGGTGAAAATAATGTCAGTGTCATGTTCACAGCTTGTTAATGTGCCCCCAAGTGACAAAAAATCAGTTATTGTAACTTGTTTAAAGTTTTCACTATATTTCAGACCTCTACAAGACCTTGAATCAAACTAAATTGATTTTATTCGAGAGCTTTAGTCCAGAGATTTTTCTGTTCCGGCAAGGCCCGAGGGAAATTCACTCACTGTTGTGATGAAGCGGTAGAAGGGCTGTCTCCTCTCTGTGTACTTCACTGTGATTGGACTGAGGTCGTATCGGAACCAGATGGCCGGGATGATCCTGCCGGTGTGGCTGTAAGCGACATACTCCTGTGTGGGTTAAGAAAGAAGAAAGAAAGGAAATGTGTAACAAACTTTAATGAGTTTTGGAGCTGTGTCTGGCGAGAGAAATCGATTTAATAAACACCAAGGCTGTTAATCTCATTATGTTTAGAGATGAATGTAGAGCAATCTGTTTTTTCATTCTTATCTCTCGTGGTGGCAGTGGTGCCTGTGAGTCACTACACAATTGGTTTCGGATAAAGTCACTCAAAAGTCATGAATGATTCACTGAAAATGAATCTTCGCTGAATACAACTGGTTAAGTAAGCGGGAGGAGGCTACAAAGTTTTGTGGGTTTTTGCGATCAGTGAGTTTACTGCAAAAAAGCATCCTCATTCACCACAACACACTCAGAGGGCTGATGCATGCCTCAGCTGGACACTTATTTATGCTCTGGCAGTGAGATTTCGGAATATTCTGCTCAGGCCCTCATCCTCCTCCATTCACAGCTGAGCTGCACTGTTATGACCCCAAACTCCAAAACCCAGCTGTCAGTCAACACGCTTCTTGGAAGTGTGCTTATGGTTTGTTGACATCTGGGGAGCGTTTCTAGTCACTAGGGGTGAGCTTTCACTTCCGGGTGAGTGCACAAGTTAACGCGGCGATACATGCTCTGACCATATGTTGGGATGGTCACGCTGCTGCCTTGACATGTGCAAAAAAAACATATGACACAGGGGGTCTAACAGGTGAGAGGGGAAAGGGAAAAAAGAGGGACAACAGGAGGAAGTCAGCACCTTGTTTGCTACTGTGTACTGGTAGGAGAACCTCTGTCTGCCTGAGAGGTCTTCGTACACTGTCGGAACAATCTTCAGTATGTAGTCGTGCGAGGCCAGAGCTGCAAGAGGAACAAAGTTATTTCAAATGAAAAAAAAAAAGTGTCCAAAAATGGATATAGTTTTGATCATGACGCAAGTGGCTGGAGCCTTTCCACGTGAGATGCAGTGTCAGCTGTGTTTCCACTTCGGATTTAATAGACGTCCGCTAGGTGTCTCATTTCATTGCATCATCCCATACCTTACATAAATGTCACACAGTGGCTATGATGAGTACATGTGCAGCGTGGATACGTACGATTAGATGACAGCCTGTCAGCCCCTCCTAACGCATTGAAGGCTCCTTGTACTTTCTGTACCTGCGTGACAAAGGAGAGAAAAGAGATCTGTGTTCAGCCTTGATACTGTACATCTCATCTGCATCTATTTTTTGCTGGGTGTGTTTAAGTGCGTGTCCTCACCTGGAGCTTTTCTCCGAAGGCCAGCTTGTGGATGGTGTGGGTCATGTCGGGGTTTTGGGGCTGCGCTGTAGCGCTGTGCGTGGACACGTGGAAGTTTCCTGGTACCTAAAGACACACACACACACACACACACAAAGAGCTAGATTAGTTTGTGTGAGCACCTGCAACACATTTAGTTAACTAATGACCAAGTCTCAATACACCCACACTTGGTTGGAAACTAAATGGTCCTTGCCTCCGGAAGAAAAATCCACTTTAACACGTTTCACATATTTCCAAATATTCCACGAGCAAGAGTGTTAAATGTACAACTGCTGGGTTAATCATTTTTAAATGGACTGGAAAGACTGACGCACAAGATGGTGGTGGGACAAACGGGGCTTCCCAGGGCCCCGGCTGCAGATGTAACTGAAGCTGGTCCCAGAGCTCTTCCATTTAACATAACTCAATTTAGACTGGAGGAGGAAGCACGTCGGCCTCCTCCGTCTCAGACAGGGGCCTCGTGTCCAAGACAAATAAACAACATATAGACCCGCAAGAATATCAGGCCTCTTACCCAATCCATCATAATTTAATTACTGGGCACAGAAAACGCAGACCTGTGCTTTTCTCTGAGGGGGGCCAGCTATATAAAACTCATATAGTAGTCGTGTTTCCATTCAATTATTACAAACTAATTTTAAGCAAATGTCACAAAAGAGAAATGCAAATTAGATGGGTTTCCATAAACTAGTTTTTTGCTATCAGTCTAGGCTTAGCTTTGCACAGTTGGTGGTGTAGGCTATGCTTTATGCATGGCTGCAATCTGCCTGTAAAAAGAGCAGAAGTAGAGGTTGCCAGTTGGAATCAAAACAAACCTCCTTGGCCATCTAACAGATCTACGAGAGAAAAGTTAAAATTGTGCTTTCATGTCAGCTAGTATTAGCCATGTTTCATGCTGTCTGGAGAAGAAGATTAAATTTGCCGTTATGGGAATATCCAGGATGTGAGTGAAGTGTTGCACAACTTTTTCCCAAAAAGTGTTTCGCCTAGTCCTGCCCCACTGTGCTGGGATTGGCTTGTACTCATTAAGTTGATGCGTCAAGGTCGGATGTGATTAGGGCAAAGAGGTCATAGTAAGGATTACTACCACCCAATCTCTGCCCAGGAGGGGGGGACTAGTAGAAACGCTCCTAGGAGAAAGATATGCTTATGCTACATTCACATGGAATCGCGCAAACAGCAGACGGTAGACGGCAGACAGACAACACCTTTAACAACTCCAACAGAATGGCAGGACGGTAAAACAAAACATGCATGAGGAGAAGGAAATAAAATCTGTTAAATAAAATAATTTTTTGTTTATCATTTTATGTAATATTTCTTGTAATGTCCAGTAACTGTCTAGTTCGTCTGTGTTTTTGCTTTATGTGAAGAAGCTACATAACATCTGGTGGTAAATTCTGTCGCAGAGGACGGCACAGAGTTAAAATATTTCAACTTTAACAGCAATGCCATCTACCGTTACTGTTGCCAGTACTCTCTGCCGGCCTCACCTAATTTTACCACCCAGCTTGCGTCCACTCTACCGTCTGTCTGATCCCATATACAGTACAGGCCAAAAGTTTGGACACACCTTCTCATTCAATGCGTTTTCTTTATTTTCATGACTATTTACATTGTAGATTCTCACTGAAGGCATCAAAACTATGAATGAACACATGTGGAGTTATGTACTTAACAAAAAAGGTGAAATAACTGAAAACATGTTTTATGTTCTAGTTTCTTCAAAATAGCCACCCTTTGCTCTGATTACTGCTTTGCACACTCTTGGCATTCTCTCCATGAGCTTCAAGAGGTAGTCACCTGAAATGGTTTTCCAACAGTCTTGAAGGAGTTCCCAGAGGTGTTTAGCACTTGCTGGCCCCTTTGCCTTCACTCTGCGGTCCAGCTCACCCCAAACCATCTCGATTGGGTTCAGGTCCGGTGACTGTGGAGGCCAGGTCATCTGCCGCAGCACTCCATCACTCTCCTTCTTGGTCAAATAGCCCTTACACAGCCTGGAGGTGTGTTTGGGGTCATTGTCCTGTTGAAAAATAAATGATCGTCCAACTAAACGCAAACCGGATGGGATGGCATGTCGCTGCAGGATGCTGTGGTAGCCATGCTGGTTCAGTGTGCCTTCAATTTTGAATAAATCCCCAACAGTGTCACCAGCAAAACACCCCCACACCATCACACCTCCTCCTCCATGCTTCAGAGTGGGAACCAGGCATGTGGAATCCATCCGTTCACCTTTTCTGCGTCTCACAAAGACACAGCGGTTGGAACCAAAGATCTCAAATTTGGACTCATCAGACCAAAGCACAGATTTCCACTGGTCTAATGTCCATTCCTTGTGTTTCTTGGCCCAAACAAATCTCTTCTGCTTGTTGCCTCTCCTTAGCAGTGGTTTCCTAGCAGCTATTTGACCATGAAGGCCTGATTGGCGCAGTCTCCTCTTAACAGTTGTTCTAGGGCTGTCGGCTGTGTATTAACCTGACTTCTGCACAACACAACTGATGGTCCCAACCCCATTGATAAAGCAAGAAATTCCACTAATTAACCCTGATAAGGCACACCTGTGAAGTGGAAACCATTTCAGGTGACTACCTCTTGAAGCTCATGGAGAGAATGCCAAGAGTGTGCAAAGCAGTAATCAGAGCAAAGGGTGGCTATTTTGAAGAAACTAGAATATAAAACATGTTTTCAGTTATTTGACCTTTTTTTGTTAAGTACATAGCTTCACATGTGTTCATTCATAGTTTTGATGCCTTCAGTGAGAATCTACAATGTAAATAGTCATGAAAATAAAGAAAACGCATTGAATGAGAAGGTGTGTCCAAACTTTTGGCCTGTACTGTATAGGCAGGTTTAATGTTTGCTACATAATAACTTCCTCAACAAAGGCGTTTCCATATTCCATTAATTACAACAACTCTTTTTTGACAAATGCAAAAACTACCTCAAGTGAAGAAGAGCTAACAAATTTTGCTGTTCCAATACAGCTTTTCTAACTGATTTCAAAATGTGCACATAAATCAGTTTAAGGAAACGCGGCTAGTGTGTGTGTGAGTTATTCTTTTCCCCAACTCTACTCCGTGGTGAGGTCTTACTTTGTTGATGGTGAACTCTCCCTCAAAGCGACAACCATCGCCCTGGTTGAGAGGAACCTTCATGGAGTTGTCTATGTGACCGACCTCGTGGCGGCCCATCTCATCCTGGATGTCCAAACCCACCACTGAAGAGACAAAAAGACATGGGAGAGAATTAAAATATATAATGAACAGGACAGAATATTATACAGTTTTCTCTGCTGGTTCCAAACTCTGACTACACAAATTATAAATTAATGACAAAATAAACATCATTACAAATTAAAAAATAGTTTAGTTTTAGACAAAATGAGTTATGTGAAGACATCACAGGCACTTTTCCAGATTTTTCAGACTCCTTATAGACTAAATGTTTCATGGTTAATCAAAGAAATGGTTGATAATGATAATAAACAACTCATTTTCACAGTCAAATAACCCAACATGCACTTTTTCATTGACAGTGGAAGAGAAGGAGAAAGAGAGAAATTCTGCAGAGTGACCCACAGAGTAAACACACAAAGTCCAAACAGACCACCAATCCTCCTGCCTGTCTGTGATTTTCCATCTAGACTTCACTGACCCCCCTCCTGCAGGCCGCTGTGTGTTGGCACACTGGCAGTGGCCTATTTTCAGAGCCTGCCTGCACCGTGTGTTGGCTAGCAGCGCAGAGAGGGACGTCTGCTGGACATGTGCTAAAAACCTCCACAAGCCGTCTGTCTGACCTTTGACATTCAAGACATCTTCGTCCGTCCAGATCTCAAAATACAGTGCATAAACACAATTTAGGTCTGCCGCTGTGAGTCTGTCCGAGCCGGTCGTTTCTCCTTTTTAAGACATTTAGGAAAGTGTGTTCATGTGAAGTGGATCGAGGGGTGGATGGGGAGGGATTATTATAAGGTCATTACACGCGGTTCTGCTTTTCCGTGAGGTCACAAATCAAGACCTGGCAACCTGTAAAGGTCAGCGGAGTCAGACGGTGTTTAAATGTGGAACAGCGCAGCACAGCAGATAAACAGTGAAAAGGATGGAAATGCAAGCTTTCCATGAAAATGATTTATCCCTCACAGTAAGTTTGTAATGGATGACAACCTGTTTGGAGGCCTGGAAAATAAACTGATGTACAACATTAACTCACTGAGAGGACGGCTGAGGAACATTTCTACTCATTACATGCAGCTGCAGTGTGGTCACACCAACGTGTTTGAGCTGGTATTTAAGAGGGCCCCACATTTCTGCATGAAAAAAAATCTGCAAATAAACAGAACCACCATACATACAATCACAGAGGGCTTTAATTGGAAATGGCACGAGACGGCCTTTGTTTAGGCACGCCATGAGTGCGCTCCTCTAAACACATGGCCGACAGCTGTGTGTCTGCATGCCAAAGCCTCTCTCGCAGAAATCTGGACTTCATTTTTCACACAAGCATTTATTAGCGTTGCCATTTTTGGATATCGCTTGAATCGAACGAATGTGGGCTTTCTGCGCTGCCCCGGCCTCGCCAGTGTGTGTGTGTGTCATTGGGCATAGTTTCTGAGGGGAGTCATGGGGAGCAAATAACCAGTGACTGCTCTCCATCCTGCCCACTGCTCCGACATCGAAGCACTGCAGACGAGCCAAGAGAGGCAACTCAGACTCAGATTACGGTTTTGTGGCAGCACGAGATCAAACAGAGGTGACACGGGCCTAAAAGCTAGTGTTATGTAGGAGCATAGCACAACACAGTCGCATAAACAAACCATTATGTGTCTGCGTCTTTATCTAGGGCATCATTTATCTTTCGCCTGTGTGCTGTGTTAAATGATAGGGTGTGGTAGGTGTGATAGTGTCTGATAAAGAAGAAAAACACAACTGTAAAAAAGGAGGCCATAGAGAAAAGGAAAACACACAAGGGTAATGCAAAGAAATAGCGTAGAGTTGCATATGTGTATATATGATGTAAATACTCACAATCACAGTGTAAGTGTGGCAAACTGATGTTTAAACTCACTTCTATCTTCCCACCACTGTCTTTATCAGGATCATCCACATACAGTTCATTTACACTGCGATGGACAGAGAAGAGAAAAAACGGTTATATAAGCTCGAACCAAACTTTTAATGAGAGGAAAGAAAAAGTCAATTTGAGTATTAAAAAACACTCCTTTCTCCTCCAACACACACACCACTTTAACAGTCAAGGATTCATCTTCTGCCAATTTGCAAGGAAAAGGCATTTGTGTATCTCTGTTAGTGTAATTTCCTTCCTTTTACACCCCCTCCCCTCGCCGAGCCCTCCCTTATTACACATCACATCACCAAGCGGCTGACGCATGCACAAAGCCAATTTCCTGTGAGAAAACTGACTCCATTCATTGGTTGCAACACGGGCCAAGCTGAAAACATCATAATGAGGGCACTGACATTCATGATTAACTCCCCGTCTTTGATATTTCAGACAGCAGGTTCTGTGCCCGTGTGGCAACAAAGGAGCTGTCCTCGGGATTAGTGTGTTCTCCGCCGCAGGATATTACACCCTCATTCTGAGATCTGATGCTGTGATACCTACATTTCTGTGGCTATGAATCCCGTCAGCTCAGACAGGAACAAGAAGAGTATGAAGACACAGCAGAGAATGGAAACTGTGGGCAGAGAGAAAGAAAGTTAGTTCCCGTTGATTTTACGTATGGCATTTACTTCACATTAATCTCAAATTACGCCGGCATTTCAAGGGATGATGCAAACCAAATGAGCCGGGCTGTTCCAGCCATTAGGGACAGCTGACCTAAGGTATTGGCATTAACGAAATCACAGCAGCCATAAAATTTTTTTCCCTAAATAGCTGTTTTACTGGCGGTGTTAAGCCTGCCATTACGCAGGTTTTTAAAGACCCTCCTACACTAATTACACATTAAATACCAGCACAACAGGCAGCCATGATTACAGCATATCTGCTTTGAGAGGTGAGCTCATGCTATGCAAGTCATACAAACAGCTCTTTATAATTTTTTTTTTTTAAGACAAACTCACAAATCACTAAGACCAAAAATGGCTCCTACAAAGGAGCTTTAAAGGGACGGTTCACCCCAAAATCAAAATTCATATTTTACCTCTTACCTGTAGTGCTATTTATCAGGCTATAGTGTTTTAGTGTGAGTTGCAGAGTGTTGGAGATATTGGACGAAGACATGTCTGCCTTCTCTCAAATATAATGGGACTAGTTGGCCCCCGGCTTGTGGTGCTCAAAGTGCCAAAAACATACATTTAAAAAACTCAACAGTAATGTCTCTTTACAGAAATCATGACTAGGTTACTCAAGATAATCCACAGATCTTGTTGTGGGCAGTTTCATGTAGGAACTATTTTCTGTTTAGCTAACTACACCCACCATCTGAATCACCATGTAGATGAAAAAGTGCACCTATTTATGGATCAGACATCTTGTGACAGCATGAGATGTAAACATCAATGGCGTCCTCCTCAGCTGAGCTGTAACGTTAGCTAGCTCAGTGCTGCCAGGTGAGCTAGCAGTAGATGCACGCTTCTTTGGTGTGCAGTGATACAGTTGGTGGGTGTAGTTCAGTAGAGAGAAAGTAGTTCCTACATGAAACTGCTCACAACGAGGTCTGTGGATTATCTTGAGTAACCAGGTCATGATTTCTGGAAAGAGACATTCATGTTGAATTTTTCAAATGTATGTTTTTGGCACTTTAAACACCACAAGTTGAGTGCCATCTAGTTCCATTATATTAAAGAAAAGGCAGACATCTCTACAGCCGGTATCTCCAATTCTCGACAACTTACACCCAAAGAATCTAGGTTGATAAACAGCTCTACAGGTAAGAGGAAATATATGTATCTTTGATTTTAGGGTGAACTGTCCCTTTAAGAGTCCCGCTAAAAGCGAGACAGAAACCAAATTAGGAATATTAACCTTTAATAATATGTATTTTTGTTCAGTCTGAGCCTAAATAAAGTGTGAGCTTAAAAAGGTGAAGCACCCAGGGTTTCTCTTTCATTTCATGTGTCAAACTAATCAGTCAAAGGGTCACATAAAACGTCGTCATGTGTTTACTAAGATAAATATGGAAGGAACTGATCTGTGTCTGCGCAACTGCGGTCTATCTGGTATGGTGAGATCCTCGTCAGAAAGCTCTCACTCAGCAGGTGAGGTGTGTTTACGTGGCAACAGTATCCAAGGATGTCACAGTCACATGACCTTGTGGTTAGCAGGGCCGAACTTGTGGTTGGTGGAGGCTTTACATAAGGTAATGTTTAACCAACAAACAAAAGGGAGTGTCGCTATGACACATAGGTCATCAATTCAGGTTCATTAAAAGGCTTGTACAGTAATTCTTGCCAGGCATCAAAGGCCACAATACTGGAAGTGGATTACTAAAGATCAGCGTAATGGGATGCTACTGTTTTAAATTTTAACAGCCCCGCAATGGAAATACTGACAAACCAAGTGATTTACAAAGACCTCATATGAGTGCTCTTTCACTTAAACTCAAGCTCATCCTTTTCCAGTGCTCACACATGATTTGAAATGGGTTCAAAAGTTGGTTCATTCTTTCAGAGAGGAAGCTCTTTTTCTCAGAGCTGTGACACAAAGAATCGGATACAATAACACCATGAATCAGTCGGTGACATCTGAAACTAGCGCTGCATTTCCGTAATCAGATGTGCCAAGTATTTTTGTCCTGCCCAAGGCTTGTTTTCTCCCACACGGCACATAAAAATGAGAATTTTCTATCAGCACAGGCAAGACAAACATATCGGGACACATGTGACATATGATGACAGAAAATAAGTCAAACAGCAGATTGATATATTATGTTTAAAGCTAGTACATCTCCGGAAACCACTGAGGCCAAAACAGAGTTATTTTCCACAGTAAATACCGTAAAAATTGAACTCAAAGGAATGTGGCCCTAAAACAGAACAACAAAAGCAGACGGGGTCAAATATTTGGCCTTTTGTGAAGAGGGGGAGTCTGTTTCTGGGTGCCTCTGAACAACACATACAGAATGTGAGCTGACCCGCTGCGGGTGAAGCAATAACAGTCATTTAAAAATCAACCCAATGCCCTCACCCCTAGACAGTGGATGGAGACAGGAAAGGGTGTTCACTGCGCACAGGAAGAACTTCCATCCACTTCCTCATGGGTGGAAACTGTGCGTATATGTTTAGCAAATCCATTCTCTTCCCTGTCATCCAGGAAGGTTGTTTATAATCTGTTAAAAACGGCTCACTACTCGATGACAGCGCTGCTTAGCCATTCTGTCATCACTTTGGTTTTGGTTTAACATTTTGTTCTACTATGTCATCAGCTGACCAATGAATAACCAATACTAGTAAATGACAGTGGAGCCAAAAATGTGTCATCAGGTCTTTTGCGTTTAATCAAGTGGTGAATAATCAATACACTTCCCTGGTTACACAATGACTTATTGATGACAAGTAGGAAAGCACATGACCTGACAGGAAAAGCATCCAGATTTCCACTGATGACTTCTCAGGTGCCTCAGGTGATGGCAGAGTATGATCATTAACATTCTTACCATACTAGTTTGTGCTAAAACAAGTACTGCCCCCATGCCGGATGACTCCATCAGGACGTAGTACTGCGCTCGGGCAGGTAGGTACTTGACTTACAGCTGTCATCTCTCCCTGCCTAAACTGTTCCCCAATACATCACCTCCCTTAAACTCCATAGGTATGCTAATAGCACCTCTTCATCCCAGCTTGGATTACAATGTCATTAGTTATTGCTATTTAAGAGCTGGCAGTTTAGACAGCATGACGTGTGATATATGACATCATAAATAAATCCTATTATTTGGATGAAAGTTACTGGCTGTATTTTTCACTTTAAGAAAAATAAATCACCTTACCTTCATGATACTAAGGGGGATGTTGCTATGAGTACCATTTAAGACTAAAGCCCGGTACATATGTCAGATTTTTCAAACAGCAGAAGGCGCACTAAAAAGGGAGAGCAATGCCATCATGGTGCACAAGCATGACAGCTGTAACCTGACCATATGATATGATGAGGAACAATCAATCACAGCCACCAGACATCTTCTATTTCTTCCGTAAATTTCAGTATACGGTAACTAAGGAGGTAATGTTGATCATTTTAGTGCAGGACGACCCAGACGACCCCACTCTGATGTCTGTATGCTAAATATGAAGCTAAAGCCAGTTAGCATAAAAACTAGAAACAGGAGGGAAACAGCTGGCAAAGCTCTGTCCAAAAGTAATAAAATCAGCATACCAATACCTCTAAAGCTCATATTTATCTTAGTTAGTTAGTTAGTTAGTTAGTTTTCACCATACAAAAACAGAAGTGTAAAAAGTTGTGGTTTTAATATGAAGCTAGAGCTAACAGCCACTTCGCTAAGCGTAGCACAGTCCAAACAAAAACCAACCACCAGCACCTCTAATGCCCTATTTAACAAATTACATCTTGGTTGTTTAATACGCACATAAACTCAAGTGCAATTTGTCATTTGATTTGGTTTAAATTTGTTATAAATTGCTGTACGTGAATTCTGGTACCTTCAAACAGAACTCTGCTAGCTGTTTTCAGTCTTTGTGCTAAGCTAAACCAGCAGTCATATTTTACGTACAGACATCAATCTTATCAACTTTCATCAAGAAAGCAAATAAGGATATTTTAAGTTTGTGACTGAATGGGAAATGGAAAGTTACTGCAACAAACTCAATTATATTCATCTTTACACACATACATATGAGGACAAAGAGTCAGCTAAAACTCGACTGACCAAAATATCCAAATAAAAAACAACCAAAAATAGAAGCTCATAAATTTTGGCCCGTTGTGTGTGTGTGTGAAGGACGACTCACTGAAAGCTCCTGTGTATGTGGGCTGGGTGAGATCTTTTGGCACTTTCCTGTAAATATCGAATCTGAGGAGAGAGAGGAAGAAAAGGGAAAGGGGGAGTGAGAAAAAAGAAAATGTAAACACTGCTGAGAAAAGAAGCACATTCTGTACCCATAAGGCTTTGCGATATTACAGAAGAGAGGTGGAATGTTAGCTCTGGACCAACGCCATTACACACAACAGGTCCAGACAGCCGGCTGCAACACACACACACACACACACACTTTTTACAGGGTTACACCTCTTCCTCTGAATGTGTGCTCTGTAATTTTGACCTGACCCCAACAAAGGTCTCTGACACTCAGCATGTACACAGGAAAACACAAAGCCAACGCAAACAAACACACACACCAGTGAAAAGACACACACTGGGATCATAAACATAACTTCAAATTATACGGTTTGATCCTTTTGGCAGAGAGTGTAAGTTACCATACAATTACATACAGTACCACTCGCAGTGAAGGATTCAGTCTGACAGAAACACGCAGTAAATTTATTCTCATCTGAATCTTTAACTTGACATTTTCGTATCGACTTAGATATTTTCAGATTATGCTTCAATCAGTGAATCAGAGGCGGAGGAGGACCATCGCACCCTGACACAATCAACTCTCTTACGAAATACTCTTGTTGCCTATTTGGGGAGCTGAGAAGGTGAGGAAAAAAAAATCTGCTACTCAACACCAAAACTATTTAGGTTCATGAGTTCTTGCGCATGTCCTTTTTGGGCAGTGAAACATTTTCGACCCCAAACTCCATCGCTGACAAACCCCACCCACTCCCTCTTCTCATCCCCACTCTCACACTTACTCCCCCTTCCTCATCTCCTTCCAAAACACATCTGTTCACATCTCTTGCACCGAGAGCTGTCGGTGAAATAACCACAGCTGATGCAATGCAGGGCGGAGGAGGAAGTAGGAGGGAGGGCTTCCTGTCCTGTCCAGCCCCGACCCTGCTGCTTCTCTTGTTTTGGCTCAGCTTTGTTTTTATCTGCCGCACAAAAAAAAAAACAAAAAAAAAAAACTGGATCCTAAACGCCTCAGCCAGCTTCCCTCCATCTCTTCCTCTGATCCACATCCATCTATAACTTCCTGCGCCCATGTCCCATTAGTATTAGATCACTGTGTGTTTATAGCAGGCCTGGCAGGATATATAGGACAGGCAGCACAGAGAGGGGCTGGGCAGGGAGGGGTCGCTCTGTATCAGGATCAGAATAACTTCTAGTGTAACACACTTCCTGAATGTTAAGCTTTAGTGCGCAGAGAGATTCTGTCCTCACGTTCCTCTCCACCCAGCCACAGCGCTGACCTTCTGAGGCCACCAGACAGGTGGAGCTCTGCGATATAATACGCCACTGTCATGTGAAAACCTTGAAAGTCTAGTTTTGAGGAATTCCGTCTTTCAGAGGATTACATGCTCCTCTGTGGGTTCACCTGTGATGAAAGTACATGACCTGTGTTGTTAAAGGGGAACTACACCCATTTCTAAAATTCGTACATATTATTCCCATGATCTAAGACAGTCCGAAGAAATCGGTCAACATGAACAACCCAAATCCAAAAGCTAGAGTGCTAAAACTCAGATTTGTGATGTCATCAAGTACAAAGTCTGGAGCTACTCCACAGACAATGACTTGGGAAATATGTTACAGATGACACTGAGAGCACCCAGGGGAACCTTCTGAGTATATGGGTACATTTTCTGTTTCAGAGCTGAGAACACTACAACAGAATAAAGCTCATTCTGTGGGTCCACTCATCGTCTATGGAGCAGCTCCAGACTTTACTTGATGACATCACAAGTTAGAGACTTATACCCCTTTTCCACCAGTTAGTGTGTGTGGTGAGTTTTTTTTTAAACACCAGTAAACCTGCTAGAAATAGGCTTTAGACTCCTTTCATGGCTCTGCAGTAGACGAGTATGCTTTTCTGTGTGTGTGGGGGGGTGTTTTGGAGAGTCACGTTCAATGTTACAGACAGGCAGGAGAACAGGTAGACAGCAGAAAGGAGCATGAAGGCCAGTGAAAACTTTACTGTGGTTAATTGTTTTCATTTATCTCTTACTTATTCAGTCTTTCTTTCTTTCTTTTAAACTTAGTGCAAACTAATTTGGATCAATGTTTGAGCACTGTCTAGGTGGAGACGGGAGGTATTTTGTGATGACTTGTCATTACATCTTGCGGGTAAAGAAGCTAAAATTAGCATGTTCACCTGGATGTTGTGTTCCCAGCAATGCTGAGTGTAAATGCCGATTAAAACCTTTACCATTGCATTAAAAATCCGGATGTTAGCGCGTTTAGTGGGTTTTTGTGCAGTGTGAAAGAGGCTTTACTTCTCTGGTCTCTGGCTTTGAGAGAGTACCTCATGTTCACAAATGTTGATTAAACTTTCCTAGCCCATGGAAATAACATTAAAATACTCAATTGTGGTGGATTTCCATTAAGGAAACCTTTTCAGTTCAGTTAGTTTAAAAAGCTTTAAATGAGCTTTTGATATAGTATCAAACAACTATGTGCTATGTAAAGATAAAGTGGATTAATGGCGTAATGAGCAGAGAATAAAGTCACGCGACATCTGTGTGTCTTGTAATGTAAGGTCCTCTGTGGTTTGTTGTGGTACATGGTCCAGCCGTGTGTGCATATTAATGCATTTGATTCCCTGTGAGTGTATCCCACTAGCTAGCTAATCACCGCCGCTTGTCACTGTGCTCATACATTTGTTACTGCTGATATCGGGGCAGCATGGTCGTGGAAGTGTAACACCCTCCAGTTCCCCAGAGGTTAACACTGTTAGCGTGGTCAACTGTTGCTGTTATTAGCACTGTTCACGCTGTTAGCACCGTTAGCTGCTAGCACCGTTAGCTGCTAGCCACCAGCTTAGCTACCTCCATATAGAGAACCGTGTGTAGACAGATCTTAGAGAGACCACCAAAATTGACTACATACACAATATGTACAAATAATTATATATATGATATCAAGCTAGAATACTTTATATTGTCACAAATTATTACTAATGACACAGTGTTTAATACATTTTAAATATGTAACGGATAGCCTACACATGCATATTCATTTTGGGTTACTGGTACACGTGAGCTCTTTTTAAATTCTACTGAAATTAAAATAGACTTTATATTGTTTTCATAGCACATAAATACATCTTGGTTATATTATATCACACAAAAACAAGCCATCTTAAAATAGTTGTTTGTACATTTAAAATCGTAAATGTTTTTACCCAACAGCTGAGGGCAGTTGATTTGCCTTTGAAACAGAGTTTCGAAGTCTACACCCGAGACCAGGTTATTAATAGTTAGAGAGATCCTCACCTCTTGCTGTGGGACCACAACCACTTATTTTTAGCAGTCACAGTTTCCCACCGCTAAACTTGAACATGAACGAGGAAACAAAATCTCAGTTGTCTGGTCACTCGAGACGAGAGATGGAAACTGATGCTACTTTAAATAGTCTCCAATGGATGTTACTGTAGGCTACATCTGTCCACCGACAGTGTGGACATATCTGGACACAGGACACAAGGTCTGAGTTACGCTCGATGTTGGGGGGTCGGAGATAAGGACAAAAATAACAGAATGACATCACAGCGCTATCTTGATATTGATATGATACACTGGGCCTCAGGAAGTGATATACAAACAAATTTCACCAGTGTTTTCTTGTATTCGCTGTCCTCTGACGTAACATAAAATTTTCATAAGTGGGCGAGAGCACTCTTATCAAGATAAGAAAAAAAAACATCTTGTTTTCACAGTCCAATAATAGTTTGTCAAACACAAGGAAACATGTTTTAAATTTGACGAACATCAAAAATTGCAGGAATATCATATGATCAAATTTAGATAATTCTATGTTTTAGAGTAATTATGATGATTGGCTTATTACATTTATGGGCTACAGATATACAATTGGTCCCTTGATCCCAATTAAGACTATAAAACCCTTGGATGTTATTGCGTACATTCAGCTTCTGACTGGCTGACATGCTGCTCTTAGCTGCTTTGTTCCTCTGTCGACACAGTGTTTACAGCATCACAGATGTTTTGTCATCGCAGGGTTTTTGAATTTCCTGTAAGGCTATTAATGACGCTCTGGAAAATAACATTTACTTTGTCTAAGTTTATTTACTGTTACGACGATTTTACAGCCGCTGAAGTCCTTCTTCCTCCAGCCTTTTTTTGGTGGCACGTCTCCAGTTCTTGGTGCATGTGCCTGAGTATTCGCACACGGCAGAACACCTGCCCTTATAGAGTGTTAAGGGGATGTAACCTGCGCTAACAAACAATCAGCCATCCTTGAACACAGCAGGGGAAGAGTGGATTTGGGTGGTTAAGAATGTCCATTGCGTCTAAAGTTGACATCTCTTATTTTTCTCTTAACAGAAAATTTAGAGAAAAGTTAAGAGAAATTTAATAGAATTTTGCTGCATGAGGTCCAATGTTTATAAGTAAGAAATCTGACAAAGCTAACTGTGTGTTGTATTACAAATAAGGGTGGAGGAAAAAATTCCATACATCATATTTTGCATGACAATATTGTATCATCAAGGACGCTAAGTATCAGTTAGTTAGGGATCAGTATACAAATTCAACTTTTGGTAGCCTACTAGAATGATAAAAATTAATTGCTTTTTCAGTCCACTAGACAGATTTTCCTGCAATAAAAATGACTGAATGTTTAATTATTAGATAAAATGGATGTTGACAAAGTTTTCTTTTGAGGACATAATTTGTGATTAAAAAACAGTAATAAATCACAATACTCTTATTTCAGCATATCATAAAAACATTTTAAATCACAATAATACTTATGTATATATAACTATATAAATATGTATATATAAGTATCATGATAATATTGCATAGTGGGGCCTCTGGTGATTCTCATCCCGTATTACAAATAGCCTACATTATGCAAATCTGGGAAAATGTGAATCACCTGCACTACTTCTAAGCATATATTATTATTTGTTTGTTTGGAAATAACATTTAAATGACAGAATA